AGGAAGGAGGCACCTGGAGAACCTGCCAGTCCCAGGGAGCGCCCGCCCCGGCTGGATGGTGCCCGGTGAGTGCAGGTGTCTTGTTGCCACACCTGGAAAACCTGCCAGTCCCGGGGAGCGCCCGCCCCAGCTGGATGGTGCCCGGTGAGTGCAGGTATCTCGTTGCCACACCTGGAGAACCTGCCAGTCCCAGGCAGCGCCCGCCCCGGCTGGATGGTGCCCAGTGAGTGCAGGCATCTCGTTGCCACACCTGGAGAACCTGCCAGTCCCGGGGAGCGCCCGCCCCGGCTGGATGGTGCCCGGTGAGTGCAGGCATCTCGTTGCCACACCTGGAGAACCTGCCAGTCCCGGGGAGCGCCCGCCCCGGCTGGATGGTGCCCGGTGAGTGCAGGCGTCTTGTTGCCACACCTGGGAGCACTGGGGCTTTTGCTCAGTATCACACACTTACATGATGCCTTTCATCTGGAAGGGTCTCATGGCTTCCTAAAATTTAACTCTCCGTGGGGACTGTTTTACCCCCAAAAGAAACACATCGTGGGAGTGAATTAAAGCCTGGGGTTGCTGAGAAACGAAGCCTTCTCTGTCCAATGGGGACTGCAGGGCGGGCCCCCAAACCCAGGGTTAGCGCCAGGTACAGACACCCTCCTTGTCTGGTTAGAAAGCAGGCAGTGACAGGAAGGTGATGGTCCCCACCTAGAACCGAAGCCCTCTCAGAGGCCAGCCTAGAGGACTGAGCTTTCCCACTAAGGCCCAGGGCGGGGTGGCCTTTGGGCAGGGGACCCAGGGCCAATTCTGCCGCCTTTGAGGACTGCCTGCTTTCTGCGGACCTGATTCCATGCTCCACACATGCTTCGTCGTCACCGGCCAAGTCTCACATCCACTTCTCCTCGTAGCCATGGCAATCCCAACACACACAAGCAATCCTTTTTGCACAGTATCACATGTTGTTTAACGTTAGGACCCTGATACTTTCTCCAGCTGGATTTTCTTAATGTGAGTCAACAAATCAACCTGGAAGCACGTGTTCCGCCGGTATTCGGGGTCCAAACAGCAGTGCCGTGTAACTCAAGACTTGGAAAGAACTATTGGGTGTACACGTGTGTGGTGCTGTGTGTATAATGGGGGGGCTGGCTCAGCCCCCGGGCAGAAACAAGAAGAGACGGCCCCCTTGCCCCAGGGCTTGAGGATCTCTGCTGAGAACCATAGGCACCAGGTGCACTCCGCTCAGACGCACTCCTTGGGACTCACTCGGAGCTGAGAGAACTCCAGCTTCTCCATGGCAGCAGATCCATGAGATCCTTCTCCACTCTTCCTCCCCGCACTGCATCAGAGTCCATGACAACCAAAGCTCGGGCTCTGCTCTGCATCCTCAGGCTACGGGAGAAACATAATCTGTGAGGTTGACCACATCACATCTGCGGAATGTGCCTCACTGCCCAGGTCCCCACACTGCCAGGGACTCTCAACAGCCCGGAAAATGGCAGCTCGAATAGAAGTCTTTAACAGGAGGGTGGATAATTTTTTCCTAAAGGCTCCCAACACTGATACCATACTGTACGGGATCGATCTTAATTACTGTCCTTGTGGAATTTTTTTCTGGTGGCTTCTTTTTCAACGAAAAAAAAAAACATTAATGAGAAACTTTAAAGGCTTGTTAACAATGTCCTTTCATCAATCAAAGGTGCTGTCGGGCTGGGCTCTGCCGTCAATTCGCACCTCGCTGCCCAACATCCACTTCCTACTTTCTCATCCACCTCCACCCCTGCCCCCATTACAGATCCCTGTCGGGGCCGACCCCGGTGATGGAGGCCAGACGTTTCCCATCTGTCAGCAGCTGGAGCCATGGGGTCCCGAGGACGCTGGACGGCTGCCCTCAGTGGCTTAAAGACAGGTCAGTACCTGCAGTTTCTCCACCTTCCCGTCCCTTCAGACAGACAGACAGACGGGGTTGCTTGGCAGAGGTCTTGGGCAGAGCCGTGTTTAGATCTCAATGTCTTTCAAACTGATAAGTAAAACTGATGTGAAGCTCAGCTCTTTAAACACAAACTTTTAATCAAATGCCCATGAACAAGAAAGCAAGCAAGCAAGCAAAAAACCCCACATGGTTTGAGGTCTGAGGGAAGCCAAAAAATTTAAATCCCCCACCCCAGAGCCTTGGACTGTTTCCGGGGACACCACTGTCCCGACGGCAACAAGAAGACATGCAGACAAGACAGGTGAGGCCCGAGGGCATCCCAGCAGCTGTGGCCGAAGCAAGGGCCGTTTAGGAACTGGTCTTTCAGTAAAATCTTCTTAGTAAAGTAAAACACTTTAACCCTTGCTCCTACATGAAGCCAATTTATCTCTCACTTCAGAATCCTCCTCTGTGCTGTCAGAAGCCCAAATAGCACGAAGATCTGCAGCAACATGAACAATCTCACATCAGCTCAGTGTGACATCCTGCCCGCTCCAATGGGGTGAAGTCCAAGCTGGCAGCACTGCCCATGGTCACAGCTACGGGTGCATAGACAGCCAAGGTGGGCGAGCGGCAGATGAGACAGGGAGGGGACGTGGCCCCCAGGGCTGTTCTGTCCTTGTAGGCCAGGTCAGGGGATACAGCAAAATCTGGAAACACATTTCTATGAGGAGGATGCCTCACATTGCTGCGAGAATCTCACTGATCCCCCTGAGTCTCATTGACTCCCCAGAGTCTGCCACTCCACAGGGCTCCGGTTGGTCACCCCACCACTTAGGTTTCTCAGCAATTCAGGTGGATGGGATTTTATCCTTATCTTACAGTTTTGTAGGAAATAAGTCCCAGGATAATACTGCTGTTTACAAACGATTTAAGAAACAAAACTGGTGGTTTCAGTGTAAACATATCTATTTTGGACTTGCTTGGCCCCTCCAAAAGGGATTCTGGAGAAGCATGTGGGGCACTGTGCACCAGAGAAGCTTAAGTTGCAGAGATGGTTTCAGTCGCTAGCACATTATCCAGCCACCCGTGGGGTGTTCAGTAAGCTGTTTCTGCTGGGTAAGAAGTGTATACGAATTACAAACCCCAATTAAGTTCTCTATAAGGTGAGTTTGCCCACTTCCTCTGCAACGCCTGGTGCCTGCAACCTTCACATCTGGAAGTGCAAATTCATGCCCATAAGAAGTTCTGCAATTCCTCACGCGAGAGCTCTTCCAGGCTTCCTGATTCCGCATCAGCCAACACCCTAAAGTGCACGTTTGCACGGTCATAGCTTCTCTTCTCTGGCCTTACAGACTCACCACTGGAGGCGGCCACAGGACACGTGGAATGCGGGTGGGTTTACTGGACACTTCTGTTCCCAACAGGAGGAGAGACTGGGAGGACAACCCCTCACAAAACTCAGTCTCCTGTGTGGCCAAGGGCAACTTATTTTTGCTACAAGTGTGGTTCTGCAAAAACAAGTATTACTTCTGACTCTCTCATTCTCTCCGCAAACAGGGGAGCGTGGTGTGGCCGGTCTGAGTGGCTGCCGCGCCACGGCGGGTCTCGGTGTCAGTCTTCAAAGCATTATGGTGCTGGGAAATGCGACAGGGTGAGGGGGACCTGGGGCCAAGGCCGAAGAACACAGCTTTCTTGTTTCGACATTTCTTTTTATTTGGAAAATATTTTTGTATTTCTTTGTGCCTTCTCTCTCCCTCTGTATTTTCACGAGCGGTGCTGCGGCTTGGAGCTAGAGCGGCTCTAGGCGACCCGCGTGCTGGCTTTTCATGTCGGCCTCAGCAGAGCTTGTCCTTGGAGCGGTACATGGCCCTGCTGGTTTGAGCCCTGCTGCTGCGGCTGTCAGAGGGAACCTCGGGGCATCTATCAAGCCTGTTCTGACAGGGCGGCGGAAACCCTTGGAGAGCAAGCAGAGCTGGTTTTGTACTGCACCACGGGCATGGCCCAAACAGGCCCACCTGTGCTCCCAGGCCACACAGATTTGCTGGCTCACCTTGGACGGCTTTGATGGGCGGGTCCCCTGCCACCAGGTGCTGACCTGGATCTGGGGGCTTGGTCCTCGCTGTCTGCAGTCATGTGGCCCCAAGACCCTCCCTCAGAGCACGTGCCTGATTAGAAACCTGGAGATCTCACTGGGAGGCTCCCATCCTTCATGGGACCCAAACAGTGGAGGCAGCTGGCCTGCAGCGTGTGCGCCTGCTGGTCTCCCTGAGACCCTGCAGAGGGCGGCCTGCAGGGTCTCAGGGAGCACAGGGAGCCATCGGGGTGCCGCCCAGCCGCCCTCCTTCAAATCCATCCTCCAGCAGGGACAGTGGTGCCGGGGTCTCCACAGCACACCGCACGGCTCTGGTGCCCTCTGTTGGAAAGCACTCGCGGCTCGCACACCCGGGCCACCAGGCCCCAAGCTGCTGCCTTGGAGAGCCAGAAGCTTCTGTTCTGTTCATGCAGAGAAAGCCGTGCCTGGTGACCGGCCATCACTGGGGAGGGGCATCATCTGTGGGGGACGCAGGGCACCACTTCTGGGGCACAGCGCACCCAGCTATTCCCACTCACCTTCAGCAACGTCAAAAATAACCAGACATCCTGCGAGTTCTGACGGTGACGCGGTGTGTGGCACCTGAGGCCTGCCGGGAGCAAGGGGGCCCAGGGCCTGTCCCACAAAGCAGCACGTGTCTACGTGACCCGCTGGGTGACTTACCCTGCTTCAAAAATACCAAGAGTTAAGACAATGGGGTAAGAGTCACATCACTTCGTGTCATAGGAAAAACCTAGATTTTGGCTGATGCCAGAAAGAGATATAATAAATCATAAATCAGCGAAAAAAGTCTGAAATCAGTTTTCCTTTGTTGGTGTTAGGACAACATGAAATACAAGGCAGGTCCCAACCATACACATTGTAAGGCCACGTTTTCATCCAGGCCTTGGTGATGTATAGAACCGCACGAGCTTCCCCGCTGTGGTTCACACCGTGGCAAGGAACGCTGGCTAAGAACACGGCACTCTAGTGCACAGCTGGGTGCGGTTTATTTTCTCTATACATCATATGCTGTTTTATTTCTCCATATGCAGAGCTACAGGTTTCCCTCTGGCTTTTGGATATAGTTAATTATACTGCTAGCATGACAACACGATAATGAAGTATCAGACGGTAGCGCACTGCCCATGCTGGCAACCCTCCCTGCTGCCATCAGTGACATGAGCTGGCCCACCACAGTCGTGACCTTTGACTTCCAGGATTGACATTGGGGTGCTGGGGTCCTAACAGGCCCACGGTCCCTGAGGCCCCTTTGGGGCAGCCCCTGAGATGAGAGGCCCGTGTCCCTTCCTACCTGCTGCCCGGAGCACACTAGGCCAGCGAGTGTGGAGCGAGGGTGAGACTCGACTTCAGCTCTCAGAGAGGTGCAAACCCCATCGAACCCGTGTCCAGAGAGCTCTTTGTCCTTCCAAATCTTGGCAAATGGTTATTTTCTACCCACCGGATACAGAGCATAGTGGATGGATCTTGCATTAGCCTTTTTTGGCAGGTAGGAAACAAAGCTAGAAAACCTCTGTAAGCATTGACTTCCAGGGCCTGTTCCCGTTTCCTTCAGTGAGACCTGAGTGTGGGATGCTAGGAACTGTGAGTGGAAAATGTCATCACAGCTGTGGACACAGCCAGGAAGGGAGGCATGGTGGGGATGTGCTGGGGCAGGGCCAGCTTTCTAGTGTGGACGGCCTGGGACAGGCCTTAGCTGGCTCTGGACAGTGGCTGTGGCAGCCGTCTGTGGCCTGACGGTGCCAGACTGTCCCATCCTGGGCTGTGGCCCCAACATGAGCCAGGCCTTCCCCACTCACTTGGCCTGTTTTAATGGACATGAAAAATAGAGCAAGGGCAGCGTTAGAGAAGGAAACAAATGTGTGCAGGACCGCGGGCATCTGAACTCATCCTGCTGGAAAACATGGAAACAGAGAGGGCAGACACGCTTGTTCCCAGGACACTGTCACCTCCTTTAATACAGTGGTGCCTCCACGGCCCATGTCTGATGCAGTGTTACACGTGTGTGTCGCTCAAACATCCATCCTACTGCACACACTCAGTTTCGGCCAGCAGGCAGGGAGCCCGAGGTAGCCCCCGCTCTCTTGAGCCAGGCCTCTGCCAGCCCTGAGCTCCCTCCCAAGCCTGGCTTCCCCGCCCGGTGGCCTTCGTGGACCAGAAGCCATTCCTTCACGGCCAGTCCTCCGGAGTAGTTGCCCACGGCTCCGCTGCTGCAGATCACTCTGTGACACGGGATGAGGATGGGGACCTGGAAGACAGGGAGGCAGCCGCTGTCAGCCAGGGATCTGGACAAGGAGGTCTTTGGGGTCAAGGCCAAGGCCCTGATTGACAGGAGTCCTGTACCCACCAAGCAGGGGCCCGTGCCGGGGGCAGGCTGTTGGCATGGGTGGGTGCCAGCTATGTCTCAGCATGAACTCCCCCTCCCCTGAGGCCCTTGAGTCCCTGGAGGTCTCGGCATGGGCTGGGGGAGGGACGAATGCCCTGAGGTGGCGTGGGGCATCTTCAGAGAATCACTTTATGCCAAGATTTGGGAGAAGAAAACTGAATTTCACCCGGTGAGTAATTTACAACGTTCACTTACAAAACCGAAAACTACATTTCCAAGTTCTGGTGGTATGTGACGCTCTCAAACGCTCCCCAGACACCACCCAGGCATCATAGGAAACGTCAGAGAAGACCGTACCTGCACAGGCCTCTCCAGCCCATGGCCGGCCAACTGTGGCTGTGGGCCCATGCCGCCCACCACCTGCTTCTGTAAATGAAGCTTCACTGGAACGCAGCCACGCCTTTTTCTCCATACCGGCTGTGGCTGCTTTGCCAAGCCCAACATATTTACTCTCTGGCCCTTGACAGGAGGACTTGGCCAATCCCTGCCTCACGCGGTGCCCAGGAGCGGGATGTGTCTCCTTCTGTAGTCTTGGGGTGCCTGCAGGGGTGTGAGAAGCTCCCTGGTCACCCCCACTGGGGGCAGGGCATGCTCAGCTCCTCCACTGGGTCCCAGCAGGGACCCAGAGCCAGTACCCCTCCCTGCCCTCAGCACTCCCACAGGCTGCTGCAGCCTCCCCACTCAGGAGCTCGGGGAGACAGAGCTGCCGTCCGGCCGTTCACCTGAGAGTGATGCTGAGCACACACCTGTCTTAAACTAGCAGAGGAGCTTCAAAAATCGAGCTTGCATCACCAGGAAAACCGCCCCCACCCAACCAAAGAGGAAGCAGCGACGGTCAAAAGGGCTCCACCCAGGGACCCAAGGCAGCGACGCTCTCAAGGTGCCATCTGCACGTTCACCCAAACTCACCCACAGCTCAAGATGCTGCCATCCTCATCCCGCACGTGAGGCCAGGGCTGGCACCACCTTGAAAGGGTGAGGGCATGGCTCCAGAGAGCTCCAAGTTGCAGGCAGTGACTCCCACGTGGCTCCCATACCCCCAGGGACAGGCCTCTGGCTGTAGCCTCCTGGGGCCTCCGGCAGTGCCCAACCTGTTATTTCCTAGCCTGGAGCCAGCACGATCCGGATCTGTGGCTGACCTAAACTCAGGATGCCCTGTGCTGATAGGGGCTGATCCAGAGTGAGGACTACAACCACGCGGCCATGCACAGGCCCCGGATCCTGCCTACCAACTGCTTCTTTATGGTCAGTCCCACCAGGGGAAGGGAATCCCTTTTCCCTCCAGAGGGGCAGGCGCCTCCTTCAGTGCAGTCCTCAGGGAGACTCTGCCTTGGTCCTTTGGCATTGCCCAAGCTGTGTAGACAGGAGGAGCTCCATGGGTCCACTGTCTGGCTGAAGCTCTGAGAGCCACCTGTGGTGGGTGGGGGCAGGTGCTGTGGCCCCTGCCTCTGGTTTCCATGCTGGTGCTGGCCTCCTCCACTCTCACCCCCACAAAGGAGAATGAGTCACTGACCACCGATAAGGGAGGAAGAGGGGTACGCCCATCTTAGCACCATTAGGGCTCCTGCAGGTGACCTGTCTGCCCCAGGGCTCTGGGTGCCCTGATCTCTTCTGAGATTGTCAGCCCCTGCCCTGGCTGGGGGGCCTGAGCTTAGCCAGAGGGGACAATGATGGTGAGTGTAATTCTTGTGGCAATTACTGGGAAGCCACCATGGCCATGCCACTGGCCCCCCACCCGCCCCCTTCAATCTTGCTTTTATCCTAATAAAGCTAAAATCTTGAGGTCTGCTATCCATTTCTCAGTTGGCTCAGAAAAGTGGAAGACAGGGATGTAACATGTGGGCATCTCTCTGGTTGTCCCCCTCTGCCTGGGCAGACAGGGATGGCCACACAGCCTGCATGGCCACTGCAGGGGACTCCAGGGGCTCCAGGGCCATGTGCTTAAGCATCCCAACAAGCAGTTACTGTGAAGAGCTTCCCCAGAACAGCTTCCCAGGAGCATGTGGGGAAGTCTTGCACAGATTTCTAAGGCAAGAATCGGCCGGAGAGCCTCCCGGGCAACGGCCTTCATCCCTAAGTAGCTCATGGTACCTGGGGCACAGGTGCATGGGTGGGCAGCCACTAAGGGGCCAGGATATCTCGGCGGATGTGTTGGGGGACATGCCTCATCACCGTGACTGCTCCGTGAAGAAGGTAAACTGCCAATGAGCATAACCATAGGAGCCAGTGCGGGCTCCAGAGGAAGGGGGAAGGGCACCAAGCTTGCTCTGGAAGGTTCTTGGCTGGCACATGTGGAGGGCACATGGGAGATGACTAGGGACCGCTTACTGCCTGGTCCCCCTTCCTCCTGCATCCTGAGCTGGAGGGCAGCCCACTCATCCCCACAACTCAGATGGCCCATACATGGATGCTGCAGACCTGGGGCCTCTCCCCGGGGCCTCACACAAGGCTGCCCTGCTCCCAGCGTCCTACCCTGATGAGAAAAAACAGCCGTTCCTACAGGATCCCAAGGATGAGGTATGTCCAGGCTACCCCCGTGTATCACTCCGGGTACCCCTGGGTATCACTCCGACTCCACTCTTCTTTTTCTCTCCACGTATCCCCAGTTCAACAGAGAGATGATTTCCGTCCATGCCCAGCTTCCCCACACCCCACCCTTCAAAGCCAGTGAACTGGACAAAGCAATCAGTTACTGGTCAGGTGAGCTTTTAGAGGAAGCAGCTGGGGGCGTGGGTCCAGCATCTCCAAGCTCTATTTCTTGGGCACCTCTGCTTCCTAGGGAGGTGATTCCTATCCTTGCATCCCCCAAGGCTTTCGGGGCAGGCAGCTTGTGTCACTGCCACACACAGACCTGCCACACAGGTTTCATCTGCTGAGTGGCCCTCTGTGGGGCCCAGCTACACACATCTCTGAGGGAGGTGGGGGAAGCCCCAGCCCCCCTTGGAAAGGGGGCTTAAAGCCCCTGGGAGCAGGTATGCCTGTGCCTGATGCTGCTGCATCTTCCACCCCAGCTATGGCCCTCATCACCCCTGCAAGGCCCCACCAGGCCTGTCAGTCTCCAGCCGAATGGAGTCTCGTGCCCAAGTTCATAAGGCTGCTAAGTGGCAAAGAAGGGGCTCTAATCACTCTCCTGCATGGCTCCACGCGCCACACTGCTCCTCCCTGACGTGGACTGTTGAGGTGGGACCTTGTGGGATGGCAGCCGATGACATGGCTGCAAGATGGGGCTCTGGCTTCCCACATATCACGCAGCTCGTCCTGATTTGACGATGAGTTTGGGTCACCATGGTAACATGCACCAATGACGCAGTCTAAGAGGCTTCTGACGACTATGACATGGGAACACGCAGGTGGCAGAGGGCTGACTGTTTCCAGCGTTGAGTTTAATAGAGTGAGGTGTAGTAACTGCCAAGTTCTGGAACAGCCGAGAAGCCGTCTTCCGGAAGGAGTCACAGGAAATCTCCAGGATGGAATATTTACCCTGATGGACGATTTTTATCAAATACAACAGTGCCATTAATAATTGCTGTGAGGGCACTATCAGATAATACAAATTCACCTTTTTGGCTGGTAAAGAGGGAGGCATTTAATTCAGTCTCGGTTTATAAACATTTAGGCACCAATTCAGTTTTCCTGCCTGACAGCAGACTTCACAGCAGAGCTTCGGTTTTTCTTCTCTCCCTCTTCATGAGCTATGAAATTATAAAAATGAGTAAAATAAACGCGTCTCCCTCTCCCTCTTCCTATACATCAATGCAGAGGCCAGGACAGACAGCACGGAGTAACAGTGACCCCGACGGCTAGGATCAGTCCTCACCTTAGCATGCTGTGATGGGGAAGAGCTGACTTACCAAATAGGCACTGTTTTTACCATTAGAAATAGGGAACGCTGCTTCTGTTTGTGTGAATTTTGGTGGCAGGTTTCAGACTATTAAAATAATGAAACCTGCTGAAATGTATCGGGGCCCTAAGGACATTTTCAAAGGATCCGTACCCTCTACGTCCTCTCCTTTAAAGCATGTGCTGCATAAAATGTAATTTTTATCAATAACCAAGAAGCTCATAATATCACAGCTGCATTGAAATCTTCATGCTGTGAAATCTAATTCATCCAATACGCGAATCCATCACTTATGCGGCCCCTTTCTCAAATGCTATAAAACTTCCAAACCCATAGATTTGTTTCCAACAAAAATAACATGAAGGGGCCTTTCAATCAATGATGGAATCCCTCTGATTCTGGTACCAGCTGAATATTTTTTCCAACTTCGCCTTTGTTCTTCCGGGCAGCAGCCCACAAGGGAAAGAGCTTGTTTTCCCTTGCAGCCTCATCAATACCTAAATCCTGGTGAGCAAGTGACACCGAGAAGCTGTAATCAATAGCTCCCTGTGCGTTTTTTTCTTCTGGTCAAATGGTTCAGCTCCACTGACAACCCTGACACTTAGAACATGATGCTAAGTCTTTATCAGCAGCCATCTGGGTGACTGGCAGAACAAGACTCGGGGGGTCATTAACGCTCATGGCAATCTGTGAATAAACTAACTCCTCAGGAATGCATTTGTTTAGAAAAAGGTGGGGAGACTCTCTGTGCCATGTATCGACTGCCTTTGAACTGCATTTAGCAAATTCTGTCTGAGGATGAAGAGGAAGGGTGCTTTGTGGAGGGGTGGGCCGTAAGGAGCTTTCTACTCAATATACTGGGAAACTGACCATCCTCTCCTGCTGGGTTGGGGAGACAGCCTTCCAGGAATGCTGACCAACCACCTTACACTGGCTGGTGAGTCCTTCCTGGAAAATTCTGGAGAAATCAAGCTCCTTAGGATAGAGGAAACCCCTGCATGGCAAAAGCCATCCCTTACTCTGGTTGGGGAAGAGAAACCCATGCCGACAGCACATGCAGTAATATGAACCAGCATGTGCTCCTGCTTATTGCAAGCCACCTAAGGAATTAATGCACAATGAGCTTTACGATGTTTTCTAACGTTCCAAGTCCATTTTTCACTCCCCCCCTTAAATGCACAATCACTCTATTCAGCCTGAATATAAGGGATGTTTTCAATGAGCGAGTCTCAGCGATGCACCGTCTGGGCTGGAGTGGATGTGTGCAGGCTTCCGGCTGGGACGCGGCTGTCAGCGCCAAAGGGAAACATCCTGAGGACACTGACAGCAGCGATGGCTCACTGCTGGCCAGGGCTCTTCCTCCCTCAAGTCCCTGGGTCACCTTTTCATCCTCCCAGCCCATTCTAATGAGGTTTCTAATGGGAATTTGGGAGCCTGTCAACCTGAATGATAGTAAACTATGTAGCCGAAGGCTTCTTGCAGGAATATCTCTGGCATATCTGTGCTATAATTTGAGGCGTTTGTGGGCACCGTAGCCGTGGGTCCTGCTGCAGCCTCCTCCTCAGGTTGAAGGTCACTGCACACGGTGGAGCCCACAGAAAGGCCGCAGGAGGCCACCACCGCCTGGCAGCCCTCGGCACAGGAGGCATGTGGACGCTGAGAAGGGCAAGACTTGGTGCTTGTAGAACCCTCCTGCTTGATGCTGTGCTCACCTCCAGTCTTGGCTTTGCCATGTGACTGGGTGTCGATGTGTGGACTTTACACATCAGGGTTTTATACCCCATGTGATACTACTTTATACATTGCAGTGACTGAGGTCATACTGGAACAGAGACACTCATAGAGATTAATAGCAGGAGAAGAGAGTCACGCTGGTTTGCAGAACAATAAATGTCTCCGAATATCGCCACAAGCAGGATTGCTAACCAGCGACGGCATCTTCACTGCAGAGTGAGAAACTGCTGGCGTCACGAAAGGCTGGTGGGGGAGAGTGTTGCCACGCTGCACACGTCAGTCAGTGGAGCTTGTCTTTACAGCAAAAGGGGAGCTGCACACATGAGGGAGCGAGCAGAGTCGGTGCCCACCGACGGCACCACTCCCATCTTCACATGTGTGCATGGAGGGAGCAGAATCCACCTCAGCGGGGAGAAGACAAGGACTTACTCTCCTCAAAGGGCACAAAGAGTAGACACTGCCTGAAACAATCACTGCACTGATGCAGGAAGAGGACCCCCAAAACCCCATTTGCATCCACAGTTCTCACGGGTCCTACACGGAGCCACCACACAACGGCATCTGAGTTGCCTTTTCATCAGGTTGAACACCTCAAAACTGACTCAGAGCCGGGGAGAAGACAGCAGCCTTCCAGAGGGGGATGTAGGTTAAGCTTTACTGGGAAATGTCAAAAGCCATCCTCAGAAATTTGATTAGGAAACACCTCCCAACGTGCCGTAAAAATCAGACCCCTACGGCGTGGTGCAGATGTTTTACGACACTGTAGCTGAAGACGCTGCAATTAACATGCAACAGGTGCAAAAGGAAGGGCCAACTGCACCCACCAGCCACTGTCACCAAAACTGAGGACAGGAAGAGATGGAGGAGGGGGGGATGGTGGCTGTCCCTGTGGTATCTCCCTCCTGGGATATTTGGGATATTTTAACAGGGCAGAAAGCTCACCTAGATTAGGGTGTACATTACGACAATGAAATCCACTGCAAACCTACCGGACTTGCTTTTTAGGGACTAACAATGCAGTTTTGTGTAAAAGTCTACGTAACTGTCTTCTCCTAGAAACGGAGGCTCTGCCCCCGGGCTGCCGCGGCGGGCAGCAGGAGCCGCAGGCTGTGGTGTGAACTCGCCCGCCTCTCCCGCTGTGAGCAGGGATGGAAACAGTTTTGGAAACCAACAGCAAAGCCACAGCAATTTTTCAAAAAGCGAGGTCTATCTGATTTAGTAATTTCCCATCCCATGATGGAGTGATCATGTCTGCACTCCCTGATCAGATGGTATGCTTCCATCATGTTAGAAACTTTCACAGAGCTTTCGGGAGAAGACATTGCCAACGTGACACACACCCTCACTGGGTGAATATTCCAGGGGTGTTCTCGAGGTTGTGTGGGTTCTCCCGATGGGCCACGCAGGTGGGGGCATCCTTCCTGCCCACACAGGCACGTGTGGCCTTGGCCACGCCCACATGGCATGCTGTGTGTGACTTCCCCCTTCATGCCAGATGGCCTGCGGCCCGGTTGCCAGGCCCGGGTGCTGTGAGCTGGGACAGCAAGGGCACCCATGTTGCCCCCAGGCACCACAGGCCATGCTGCCCACCCGTGCTGTGTCCCGGTTGGGCCTTGTCCTCTGGGGAGCACGGCCTGAGGCTGCATAGCCTGGGAGCCTCGAGTTCAGTGAAACCTGACTGCAGACGCGTGGGAAGGATGAGGACACAGAAGGGCTCTGGGGAGGGTGCCATCCCTGCTGAGACAGGAGGTGTGTGTGGTCCAGGTCCCTCGTCCCATGCTGCAAGGCCTCCCGCCTTGTGTGCTCCCATGGGATGCTTTAGCTCTTGAGACCCAGGGAGCCCTGGGCCTCAGGGGGACTGCAGCCCGCAGAGAGATGGGGTTGGATGTGCACCCTTGCTCGGCCATCCTGCTAGGATGAAGGCACCTCGCAGGTAGGCCTTTTTGTCTGTTTTGTTAGCTGCTGTACTCTGGGCACCCAGAAGAGTGTGGACTATAAAACTGGTACCCAACACTTCCACCTGCTGAGTGAGCAGGTGGGGCCCCCTCTGCCCGCTTGCCACTCCTCTAGGCTCCCTCCTCTCCTGTTCACTGGGACAACCAGGAGCTCATGCAGTGGAGACGTGCTCCCGGGGTGGGGGAGCTTCCAGGAGTGTGGTGCTGGGGTAGCCTCCTTGCCTCTTCTGGAGGCATCTGGCACAATGGTCCCTATCACAGATGTTGCCCCTCTGCCCACCCCAGCAGCACAGCCTGCCTTCTGGGGAAACACGTGGGATCAGATGACACCCTGCCGCCTGCATGCACCCGCCACCCACAGCCATGCCCGCGCCACAAGAACTCACAGGATTGTTTCTCATTGCTCCTCCCACAGCTCGCGCGGCTTTGGGGTTGCCTGCCAGGGCTGCTAATTGCTGGTAAGAAATCACTTCTCCGAATTTCACAACCTTCAGCAGCTTCCATAACACCTGTCTGGTGAACGACTCTGAAAGGAAGAATGCAGGATGATGTTATTTGGACAAATGGCTTCAGCAGCTCTGATATAAATAGCTGCTAGTCCCAAAACAGGAAACCCATCGACACAAATAGAGGTGTTATACTCAATTAAAACACAGCCTCCATGCACCGCTCCGCCACCATGTCACCAGGCAAGGAGACGCGAGCGTGTGGCAGGCCACCACGCAGGCTGGCCCCTTGGAAGGCATCCCTGGAGCTGGCACTGCAGGTTTGCAATATCTTTCTACCTTCCCTCCAACCCCGTGTTCCACGCGGGGTTGCGTGTGCCACCCTTCTAGCGACTGGGCGTGTGTAAGTGAGCGCATGGTTCAATTAATACGCACAGAAGTCCCTGCTGCCCGCCTACTTGGAAATCTTTTGTACTGCTGGTTAATTTCCAACTTCAACTGGGACAAAGAAGGCAAAAGCAGCCACAAGCCAGGCTGCGATATTATGCTGGCTGTCCACATCCAGCCGTGCGCGGGATTCCCCCAGCTACTGCTCGGAGTGCCAAGCACCACAGTACGCAGGGGCTGGCGGTGACCTTGGCTACAGGCATCTTTAGTGAATGGGGCTGCAAAAATAAAATGACTTGATTCCCATTTAAATTGAGTAACCACATCCAATTGCATTTGTGCCGCGCCCTGCTGCAGGAATGAGGCGGCGATCGCAGGAGAACATTCTCTCCCTCTGCCTCCAGGTTTCAGAACTGTTACCTGGGAGTGGTGTTGGCAGGAGAGAAACCCGGGCACGTGAAGAAGGCCGGTCTGAATCAGTACCTATTGTCTTTCCAAGCGGGACATGCAGCTCAGGAGCACTGGAGACAGAGCCACGTCCTCCATCGCAGGGGCTCAGCCCTCCAGGGACAGGAGTTTCTCAATAGTGGCAACAAAAGGGAAGGCTTCCGCGGGCAGGAACGAGGTTCCGAGTGTGTCCACAAGAACACTAATTACACTTGGTGCCAAGCTGGCAAAGTGCGATTTGGTTCTTAAAGGACACACACCCTTACATGTGTGTTAAATAATAAAAATCACTTCTTAACTGAAGGGAACGATAATCACTTCACTGGGAAAAAAAAATCTGTTTAGTCTTTATTATAACATTAAGCAAATTAAACATCAGCATAATCCAGGTGATACTAGAAAAGGGTCATCAAAGAAATTAACTTTGTTGTTCATTAATTTACATGGATTAGTAGAGGGCAAAAAGATAGCAAATGTGCTCTAGTTTTTTATGATATAATTTCAAACTGTACACCATTTGTGGCAGGAGGGTGACTTTGGGGTTAATCAGACTGATTTGTCCTTTTAATTGCTTTCTATTCAAAGAAAATTCATTAGATAATGTTCTCTTCAAAATTCATGAATCAATTTAACTGAAGAAACCACATTAACAGCTTCGGGTTCATTAGCACATGCAGTTGTATTACCGGCTGATGGCTGGGGGGTTTCCTTGGGCAAATGCACTCTGTTTACTGTCATTTCTTCAGAAAGCGTTTTGAAATCAAACTGTTAATCATTATTATGGTTGCTGTTGTTGTTATGCCTAACTTTTAAAAAAAGCAAAGCAAAGCGAGGTAGCCTGCTGTTGACTTGGAGGAAAAGAGATTTCTGGGACAGCTGTCTTGGAAAAGAAACAATGAAAGCAGCACGTCAACACCGCAGAAGCAGAGGCCAGTTTCCCGTCTTCCTTGGCGAAGCAGAGTTGGTGGTTTTGTTTTCCGTGCTTTCTGTTAGGTGTTCTGGGAGAACGGCCTGGAACTTTACTCAACTTGTAGGAATGAAATGAGGGAGGTGTGCGTAAACCTAACCGGAGTGCAATGAGGGAGGTGTGCGCATACCTAACCGGAGTGCAGAGTAGTTCCGAGAAACAATGGCACGGTTCCAAGGGCCTCATCTGAGCGCCAGCCTCGAGTGCTGCTCTGACGAATTGCTGCCAAATTACGGAGCACCTTTCTTTCCAAGTGTAAAAGTGTCGTATAATAAAACAATTATATGTCCATAGATGAGCACAGAGTTTATCAAACACGTTCAGCTTCATTGTCAGCTTCTCATGGGAAACCATTTCTTAACTGGTCCGTACCACGCAACATATGAGGAAGTATAGCTCAAACAATGCAGTATTTAGCAATCAGGCGCCTGATTTTACAAATGTATCTGAAAACTCAGTTTCACCCTGCAGTGAACAAATGCAGTAATTAGTTGAAGCAGCTCTCAAAGAGCACAGTGCTTCTAACCTCAGCCTACGTGAAATCACATGGCTGAACAACACCTGTTTTGAAGAGGGGCAACCCTTGCTGTTAAGCATCATTATCTAAAATTGAGTGAAATCCACTCGCAGACATTCACGCATGTGGAAAACAGAAGTTCTTGAGGTTGAGGTGACCACATCAGTCCTCAGTAGCTGGCACAATCACTTCAGGTGGCCCAAAGGGGCAACCATTAAAACAGCAGCCTTCTGGTCCAGGTGCAGAGGCTCACACCTGTAATCCTAGCACTTTGGGAGGCCAAGGCGGGCGGATCATGAGGTGAGGAGTTCGAGACCATCCGGGCCAAGATGGTGAAACCCCATCTCTACTAAAAATAAAAAAATTTAGCTGGGCATGGTGGTGCTCGCCTGCAGTCCCAGATACTTGGGAGGCTGGGGCAGAAGAATCACTTGAACTCAGGAGGCAGAGGTTGCAGTGAGCTGAGATCGCGCCACTGCACTCCAGCCTGGGCGACACAGTGAGACTCCATCTCAAAAAACAAAAAACAATGCCCCCCAGTAGCCTTCTTTAGCCATGGGCCTCCCCAGAGAGCAGCCCTGAGACCTGGGGGCTCTATGACGCAGCCTCCGAATGCCACATTCTGGATGTTCCTCTCTCTTACCCCTTACTTCCCTTGTTTCCTTCTCAAACTCACACTTGCTCCTGCCTGTCCTGTGGTGCTGGGTACCTTGGGCTGGGCTTCCGTGGCTGGGGTCAAGGGAGAGGACCTGCTTCTTGGAGTCTCTGCATCTGAAGGACATGGCTATTTTCATTTCGGCTTGGACGGCTATTTAAATGTGTGCACTGGGAGGCCGAGGCAGGAGAATGGCATGAACCTGGGAGGTGGAGCTTGCAGGGAGCCGAGATTGTGCCACTGCACTCCAGCCTGGGGGACAGAGCAAGACTCTGTCTCAAAAAAAAAAAAAAAAAAAAATGTGTGCCACCCGTAACTGCCTCACCCAGGAGAAGCCTGTTTTCTAAACTCTCTGCCTGCATTGTGCATCTCCGCCAATGGGTCTGGGGTGCCCTTTCTGATGCTGGTCACGGAGAACTCGTTTTGTTTCCAGACACTTGGTTTTTACGCAAGGTGTTCTTCATGCACACCATGGATGTGGGCTCAAGCTCTGAGCAGGCACTGACACTGAAACCTGGAGGTGGGTCCAACTCGCCAAACTAGCTCCAAAAGGAAGGACAGCACAACACCAAGAGCACGGCAGGAGGACACAGACCGGACCAGCCTGGGTCTGCACCGCTGAGCTCAGACGCATCACTTCTTATCCCTGGGCGTCCCTCTCTCCTCTGTAATATCTGCTGAAGAGCACCCAGCAAACAGCCTGTGTACTCCGCTGCCACAGCCAACACGCCTGTGTACCCGCTGCACACAAGCCAACACCCGTTACCCGCCACACCAGGCAAACACGCCTGTGGAGCTCCGCGCAGCACAGCAAACACGCCTGTGTACCCGCTGCACACAGCAAACACGCCTGTGTACCCGCTGCACACAGCAAACACGCCTGTGTATCCGCTGCACACAGCAAACACGCCTGTGTATCCACTGCACATAGCCAGGCTCAGAGCACCGTCAACAGCAGGGCTGGCCAGGCAGCTGGCCTTCTCTGAGATCAGGGCTCAGACAAGCACTGAGGGTCTCTTCCCTGGGAGGCAGACCATTATGTTTCCAAGTTCTTGAGGAGGAGTCTCCTTTCCCTCTACCATCACGGCTCCCTGGGTGGTGACCTGTTAAGGTCCATGTGGTTTCCTGGGGGGAAGGGGTGTCCTTCAGCAGCCCAGGTTTTGGGACTTTTCCTTAGCCAGGCTGCGGCTAGCAGGGGCACACCCAGGCCCATACACACAGGTGCTACCTGGGGGGCTGTGTCTGGGGAGCATCTCAGTAGCTGTGCTGTGGTCATGGCCAACAAAGAACAACAGAGAGCAAGAGCGAGCAGGGCCCCAGCTCCTGCAGGACGTCCCTGTGTAGCAGCTACTGGCCTGGAAGGGGGATCCCCAGGAGCTGGTGTCCCTGGCACAAGTCACAGCTATCTGACCTAATGCTGCCTGGCCATCAAAAGCAGCCAGAATAAACTAACCTGAAACACTAAGATGGAGGGAAAGGGGGATTCTGGTTCCAGGTAAAACGAAGCAAGCACTCCATACTCGTTTCTTCTACTGAATGTCTTTATAAAACCTGGACAGAAGGCACAGAGCAGCTATGTGAGGGCTGGGAAGAGTCAGTAGTAGTGGGCAGCCTTGGAAAGAAGATAAGAATTTCAAGTATCACGGAAAAGATGAATGGGCTTCCTGGGTTATCCCTCTGTTGTCCTCAGCCCAAACTTACTACAGCCTGAGCCCTGGAGGCAGAGCCTAGCACAGCTGGGGAGCCTCCTAGGGGTTCTACTCCACTTTGAAGAAGGAAGAGAATCTCCTACTGCTATGGTTTCAATGTGTTCCTGTGTTGGAAACAACTGCCACCATGACAGTGTAGAGGTGACGAGGTCATGATGGCCCCTCCCTCAGGAATGGATGAAGGCTGCTACTGCTGGAATTGGTTATCGAGGGACTTTGGCCCCTTTTTTTCCTGCCTTGCATGCTTGCTTGCCATGGGATGCCTTCCACCACGGATGGCCCTCAGCAGATGCTGGCATCATGCTCTTGGACTTCTCAGCCTCCAGAACTATGAGCCCAATAAATTCCTATTCTTTATCAGTTACCCAGACAGCAGTGTTGTTATAGCAGCAGAAAAT